TAGAAGTCATTTTATTGTTACTTTGGTTTTTTCAGACCAGCAGTATTCAGACCCTAGGTATCTCGGCTAGCTAGTTTCTGGTCTTGGTCACCTAAGCAGTGTTAGGTATTGGCTCTACCTCATGGAATGGCCTTTTATCAAATCAAACAGTGGTTGGTTACTTCCACATCCTTTACTTTATGCCTTCATTGCCCAAGCATATTTTGCAGGCAGAACAGATTGTAGATCAAAGGTTTTGTGGTGACTGGATTGGTGCTTAACTTTCTCTTTTGGTAGCCTGCAGAATACCAGACACTAGAATGTATGGGTGAAAGTTCTATGTAGGCACAAGGTCAACCTCTCCATGTTCAATGAGTTACATAAGTGTTTTCTTCAGCAATGGGGCCTTACTCTCAGTTTGTGGAGAGCAGCCTATTGTCTTGGCAACAGCCCAGGTTGTCTGGGGATTTTCACAGGCCCCTTTGGTCAACAACTCAATTGATTGTAACCCAATCCCAGTACTGGAAGCTTCATTTGATGACAAGAGATGGCCAGTTGGGACTCTGTCTCCCTCATTGTTTGGAGACTTCATTAGGATTATCTTCATATATTTTTAAGAAGTTTCCACCATACTAGTTTTCCATACTATCCCCCAAATGCCCCTCCATTCTAGCTATCTTTCCCTGAATTCCATGTCCCCTCCCAGGCCCCTCCTGATCCTGCTGTTCCCATTACCTCCTGCCCCCCAGTCCACCCATAAAATCTATTCAACTTCCCTCTCCCAAGGAGATCCATGACCCCCCTAGTCCTTTCCTATATACCTAACCTCGCTTGGTCCACAGGTTATAGCTTAGTTAACATGTATTTAACAGCTAATATCCACATTGAAAGAGGTAAACTAAAACTCAAAGGCTTCACTTTTAATAAATCTCACTGGGGAGAAATTGTGTGAATGTGGCAAAGCCTTAAGTTCCCATTCAACTCTTATTATTCATATTAGAGAGAAACTATATAAATGTAAAGGTTGTGGAAAAGCCTTCAAAACAAAACCAGACCCCTAGCCTCTAGTTCTTGTATTGTGAACAAAACTCTAAGATGTCTTTGCTCTTAGACTTAGTAAGTGCCTGGATAGCATGTTTAGCAACAAACCACTTCCAAGTAACAGACAAAGCCGTAGACACCACAGAATGCTCCCTCCCAGCACCAACCAATGAGAACAGGCTACCTGCAAATAACAGAAAAAGCCATAGAAACCACCAATGCTCCCATCTGTAGCCAACCAATCAAAAATACTAACAAACCAGTTGCCCTGACTCTGGGAAATTTCCCTAATTGTTCCCCAAATGTCAACCAATCAGGATCCGACCCATACCTACTGATGTAATTCTGCGATTTTTTTATTTTATTATTTTTTTAATTAGTAACAAGATTTTTCTTCACATGTCAATCCCATCTCCCTCTCCCTCCCCTCCTCCTCCACCAACACCCCAAGCCCCCACCCCATCCCCCCTCTGCTCCCCAGGGAGGGTGTGACCCTCCATGGGGGATCTCCAAAGTCTATCATATCATCCCAGGCAGGGCCTAGGCTGTCTCCCAGTGGAAAGTCCAAGAATTCAGTAGTTGTTCAGCCCATGAGGCTGGATGTCTCAACTGATCTTCAGTATATGACAGAATCCATATAGGTAGGCTCTAACATCAGTGAAGGAATGCTTCAGTAGCAGGATAGATAAACTTGCCAGTGAGAATGAGGGCAAGCAAAAAAAAAAAAAAAAAGCTTCTTTTTTCATCCCACCTCAAATGATCAGTTAAAAAAACAAATCCCACATAGGAGTGCCCAGCTACTTGGGGATTTAGTTAATTCTGGAAGAAGTCAACTTGTCAATCAAGAATACCTGTCACATTGATGGAAACCACAGCAAGAATTGGGGGTGAGTCAGAGGGATGTTGGGAGGGACGTGGAGGCAGGAGCTGATGCAGAGCTCATGGAGGACTGTTGCTTACTGGCTTGCTCGATCAATGGACTGTTATGTGAGATACATAAGCCAAATAAACCCTTTCCTCCCTCAAGTTGCCTTTGGCCATGCTGTTTTCATCACAGTAATAGCAATCCTAAGACACAATGTCAGAGCCACAGAAGCAAGACCCACATCAACCTGAGTTGGCATCCACTTAATAATGATAGTGTTGTCCCACCTTGCAAATGACATTGCTCCAGCCTAAGACCTGGACCCTGGATATAACCTTTCCTCTCTGAATGGCCTCACATAGGACATAGACCATTTGTCCAGCAATATCTCTTCTATGGACAGACACAAGCTACTTTTGTCCATTTGATACCAGATAACAGGATAGCAGAGACTAAGTAACATAAAAAAAAATAAATGTATTTGTCTCATAGTTCTAAATGCTAGAAAGCCTAGGACTGAGGGGTTTGCCCTATGTGAGGAGCTTTATTGCTGCATTACCCTATGGTAGACAGAAAATCACAGAGAAGAGAGAGAACCTATAGATAAACAGATAGAGATAGAGATAGAGATAGAGATAGAGATAGAGATAAATATAGATAGAGATGAGAGAGATTCATTCCATAAGTTCTGTGATTCTGCAGAACCTTGACTAATATAGTATGGATACAATTTACATAAATATATATTTTTCATTCTTGCATTGGCAACCTATTTGCATCTTTTGTTCTAAAGTTACTCTCTTATAGATGACATATAATTGGATCATGTTAGGTGCCCTCCCATTCTGCTAACCTCTGACATTTAACTGAAAAGTTTAATCGGTAACATAATTTTAGGAAAGAACTAACTCTTGCTCCCTTTTCATTTATTTTCTTTCTGTCTTATACATCAGTTTTTCTCAACTCTTTCATAATTCTTTTTTATTTGATTTTTTTCTAGTGTTATTTTCTTTCTCATATCCCTTTTGAGGTTTTGGTTATGATAACTGTAGTTAAATTTATAGGGCTAGAGAGATGGTTCTTCATCTACGAACACTGGCTGCTCTTGCAGAGGACCTAGTTTCAGTTCCCAGCACCCACACAGCAGATCAGAACCATCTGTAACTCCGATTACAGGGAATCTGATGCCCTTTCCTGGCCTCGGTGGACACCAGGCCTAAACTCACACTGGATGAGTCATCACACTTGCAGACTGTGCCCAAGAGGGGGTCAGGACACCAGACACATAATAGGAATTCCTTTAAAATAACTGGGTAATACTTTTCCCGCCCTGCGGTTTTTCATTTTAAGAGGGCTTTGCTGTTAAATAAAGAAAGAAATAAATGAGATCTTGCTTGACTTGACTCCCTGCTGTGTCTCATTGTCTCTGGGTTTGAGGGAGGCTGCAGAACCAGTGAACACTGCACTCTACCCTCTCTGACCTCAGAGACCCCAACACAGATTCCAAGAATCCCTCTGTCTTTTGACAGTTTGGTTACAATGTGCTACAATATGGATGTCTTTGTGCTTATAATATTTGGAGTTCCTTGAAATGATTGAATGTGAAAAGCCCAACCTTTCTCAAGTTGGGGAACTTTTTCATTCCTTCAGATCTTTCTGCCATTTTCTCTCTGACTGCCATTTCTTCTGACTGTTGCTTGAACGTCATGAATCCTTTGATGCTATTCCACAGTATCCAGGGTTCTTTTCTTTTCCTTCAGTTCAAGCCCCCTTCATCATGCTTTCTGCTTCCTTGGCATGTCCAGATCTCCTTTGGAGCTTCTCTAGAGAATATTTTAACTTAGTTATTCTTCTTCAGAGCTCCAGAGTTTCTATTTGATTCTCCTCTCACATTTGATCTTTTATTTGGTTTTGTTTCTCTGTGGCTTTCTTCAGTTCTTTAAACATATTCAAAATGCTTATATTTTTTTTAGTTTGTTTTTTTTGACACAGGGTTTCTCTGTGTAGCTTTGTACACCAGCTTGGCCTCGAACTCACAGAGATCTGCCTGACTCTGCCTCCTGAGTGCTGGGATTAAAGGTATTTGCTACCACTACCCGGCTAAAATAAATTGATTTTTTTAATCATGAGTTAAGTTATCTGTGCTTCCTTAAAGATATTTCCTATTTCCTCTTTCTGGCTATGATTTCCTGTTTCTTTGCCTTCCTCATTTTTTTAATTGTTAAAGATAAACATTTGCATATTAGGTTATAATACAGCTGCCTGGAATTCAGATTCTTCTTTCTCCCTTAGGATTTCTGTTGCTCGTGGTCAGTACTTTTTGCCCAGTGACTTTTCTACATTAATTTTTAAAGTTTATATTTCTCATTATTTGTGCCTGCTGCCATGTCTATTTAGCTTGCTAATCAGCTACTGATTTGACAATGATTTCCTTAGACAACTACATCTCAAGAAAGCATTTTCAGACTTTGCAGGTGAACAGTGTATCTCTCTTAGGGCGCAAACTCAACACTCACTAGAAAGCTTACATATTTGCCCAGTTCTTCACTTCCTGCTTGCCTGCTTAGTTCCCAGTCTCTTACTTCCCATACTTTTGGTCTCTCTCCTGCTTATCCTAGATTTCTAATCCCTTATCCAGAGAGCTACCTGTAAGTGGCTTTTTACAAATGCTACTCGGGAGGCTGTTTCAGTACCGAGGCAGGCTGAACCATTCACTTCCTTAAGAGAAGTCAAATACACAAACACAATTATTTATATATATTATCCCATAAAGAATTATGTTTCATTACGGCTGTTTTCAAACAAAATTTGTTTTGTTGTTTCCCTCCTTACACTCCTCTTTCTCATCTTTCCTTTACCCTACAACCCCCAGTAGGCTCATTTCCATTCTCCTGTCACATGTGACCCCTTCCCCGTTCTTAGTACTTCCTGTTCCCTTCTCCTAGTCTCATAGTCTCCCACCTCTATGTGCTCACATCCACTTACACACATATAACCATGAAGAGTTAGTTGTTTTTGTCTATGTTACCCCATTTAATACACCACTTCCAAGCACATTTCATTTGTCTTTAGAGTCAAATAGAATCCCATTGTGTACACACCACATTTTTATTACCTTCATTTGTTGGTGTACACCTAGACCCATCCCCTTCTTTGCTATTGCGAATGATGCAGCGGTAGTCATGGATATACAGGTATCTTTTTGTTATGATATTGACTCCTATGGACCTATGCCCAGGAGTGGGATAGCTGGGTCCTATGGCAGCTCTGCTTCTACAGTACTCACACCAGTTCATGCTCTCACCAACAGTGAATAAGGGTTCCTCTTTCGCACATCCACGTCAGCATCTGTGATTTGTTTATTCGATCACGGCCACTCTGACTGGGATGACATGGAGCCTCAAAGTAGTTTGGATTTGCTTTTCTCTGGTAGCTAAAAATGAAAGACACTGCTTCAAAAGAAGGACTTTTGAGCCTGCTTCCAGTTCAGTGGTCACTAGCTAGCCAGGAAGGAAGCAGTAAGCAGGTGAGTTAAGATGCCAACACCCTCTCTTGCTGAAGTCTAGCAGCCCTCCTCTCGTGGTATATACTGAGTCACAGAACTCTGAAAATGTGCAGTGGGGGCCACTTAGTTTTTGCCTTGGTGGAGGGACAAAGCTTCGAGGCTTCTGATACTACCAGTTTTGCTGATGTGACCCAACATATTTGCTCTGAAATGGTTTGGGGCCATTTCTACGCCATAGTTCCTAACAACTGCTGGCATTTTCCAGACCCCTGCAGCCCTGCTGACCTCAGAAGCTAAGCTCTGCCATTTATTTTGAGGGTAGATAAACTATCTTCTACATGGAAAATGTGTTCATTTTCGAGGTGGCAGCCTTTTGCCTCACATGCTTTTGCCGTCTTCTTGAACATGTCAGGTTCTCTGGTCTCTGCCTTCCTTCACAGCCAGCCTGCACCATTGTCCCCCACTGCTCTGGACAGCCCTTTGACCCTTCCTCACCTGCTTTTCTAAAGTGCACATTCAACACTTAGTTACCCACATGGATTTCCTGTTCTGACTGATGTTATCACAAATATTTCCACCACAAAATAAAAGCATTCTGTGTAATGGCATTGATTGCATGAAGAAAAATACCAAGTATATATATAAAAGCAGAAAATTGGTCAGGACCTGGTGACCACTTGAGGCTGTGAGCCTCGGTTCAGCTTAGAATACACTGCCCTTTGTTCATCTCTCATCCAGACCACATGCAAATTTGTTCAACTGCTGCAGGTTCTATGTCTTCCTAACCTCTAACACAAATAATATTTAACCTATTAATGCCTCCAAATGGTTTTGATGACAAGTTAGAATTCAGTTTGTTCCTAAGAGCTTGGCCTATTTTGTTTCTCTCACTCAGAATGGTCATTAGCCATGTTGATCCTCCATTGTGGGGATCTCACTATGTTTCAATAAATAACATCACAAAGAGAAACAGACACTGTGAACCAAAATGAGCACCAATGGGATTTCCTTTATCTTACCTGAAGATCTGTAACAAAGAATACAAAACTAAAATAAATAGATGGATGGATGGATGGATGGATGGATGGATGGATAGATAGATAGATAGATAGATAGATAGATAGATAGATAGATAGATAGATTAAAAATCCATGGCTCAACATTTAAGAGCATTTAGTGAGCTTGATTCCCAGAAGCCATATTACGTGGCTTTCAACAATCTGCAACTCTGGTGCTAAAGGATCTAACAGCCTCTGCTGACTTCTGCAGGTTCTTGCACACACATGGTGCATGCAGGCAAAATACTCATACACATACAATAGTTTCTTATCTTCAGTGATACTAGGTCAGTAGGCACTGTGTAAAGGTGAAAATACAGTCTTACAAATGTACATTGACTTAATTCTTGAGTATGATACATGGTATTATTTTAGTATTTTAGAGAATTCCTTTAGTATCATCCAGTCTGATAAAGTTATCTTTTTCTTTAAAAAAAAAAAAAATACAGGACCTAAAGACATGGTTCAGCATTTAGAAACATGCACTGCTCTTGCAGAAGACCTTTGTTCAGTTCGCAGAACCCATGTCAGGAAGATTATAACATCCCATAACAAAGTCTCCTGAGGATCTGAAGCCCTCTTCTGGTTCCCATGAGCAACAGCACTCATGAGCACACACACCCACACAGACACACATGCATACACATAATTAAAATTTTTAAGTAAATCTTAAGAAAACATAGAGGACTGTGCTCCAGACTCATTAAAATACATGTTTTGTGTAGCTGTCTCTCTCTATTTAACATGGTTCTTTTTAATTTGTTGAATAGCTTACATATTATGGTAGGTCAGAAAATTACTACTAAAATGAAGTTCATTAGAAAGGCACAGGGGATAGACAATAATTGTATTTTAGTTTTAAGTTCATAGTTAAAATGAAGTGGCAGGTACAAAGCATTTCTAATACTCTGCCCTTCTCAGGAGCATAGACTCCCCCACCATCAGCATTCCTTACTATTCACGGGAAGACATGTAAGCAGTGGAGCTGGGAGAAGCAGCTCATATATGGCAGCCCAAGCCTCATTCCCGTCTGCACAGACAGACAGCCTATAGTAAAACATCAACCTCTGCTTAATAATACAGCAACAGTTTTTTATTTTTTAATTTAGTTCAAAATATTTTCTAAATGTACTTTATTTTTCTCTTTGATCCAACAGTTATTAAGAATAGTTATTTTTTTCTTTTTTTATTTGATTTACAAACACAATTGAATTACATGACAATTCCAGTTCCCTTCTCCTTCCCCTCCTCCCCTATCACCCCCCAACTAAAACCCTGCCTATCAAATATCCTTTCTTCTAATCTATACCTGACTCAACCTTTCTGCTCCCTCATGACCTCTGCATCCTTCCTCTTCTTCCCGTCTCATTCTCTTAGCTCCTGCTGCCCTCTTCTCATTCTCTCAATTTGCTCAGGGGATCATGACCCTTTCCCTTTCTCCAGGAGACAAAGTTTGTCTCTTTTAGGGGCCTCCTTGTTTACTAGTTTCTCTGGCAGTGTCGATTGTAGGCTGGTAATTCCTTACTCTATGTTTAAAATCCACATGTGAGTGTATACATATCATGTTTGTCTTTTTGCGATTGGGTTACCTCACTCAGAATGGTTTCTTCTAGATCCATCCATTTTCTTGCAAATTTCAAGATTCCATTTTTTTTCCTGCTGAGTAGTATTCCATTGTGTAAATGTACCACAATTTCTCTATCCATTCTTCAGTTGAGGGGCATCTAGGCTGATTCCAGTTTCTGGCTATTACAAATAGTGCTATGAACATCGGCAACAGTTTTTTAAAATGACAGAATTTCTTAGCACAAGCCAGCAAATGTCTTAATCAAAGGACAGTCATGAGACCTTGAGCAGTCTTGAGAAGCTGGACATGAAGGAATAATAAAATTACACCTTTATTTTGCTACCCATGTCTCTTGATGTCACAATAAACTTCCCTGAGGCTGCAGATAGATTGTTCCCATTGCTTCATAATCTAAGGCTCCAGGGCATTTCCCACACGTGTGTACTAACGAAGTATCTGAATCTTCAAAAGATGTCTGCTTAATTGTTATGTCTTTCATATTGTGGTTTTGACACTTCCCCCTTTGTGGGTTTGTCTAGAGGGTCATGGTAAGAAACATCTGAAAGGTACCATCCATCTGCTCCATCATGATTCAGGAGAGAAAACTGTCATCTTACCCAAAGAATATGCCACCTACCTCATAAATATTCATAATACTTCTTTAACACTCAAAATATGGAACTCAGGATGCTTCTACAGCCACCTTCCTTGGGACAACCCATTCTAATCTCCCTTTGGAGTGCTTCTTATGGATTGCTAAATAAACTTCTGCATAACCATCTCTTTGTTGACTTCTTGCCTTCAGAAAGACAGTAACTAGGAGACACATTTGTTATAGCTGATGAACCTACCCTGATGCTGGATCATTCAAAGTCACTAACTCATACTGGTATTCACTCAGGGCTGCATGTGCTTAAGATATTTTTAATCTCAAATTCAGAAATGGACTCACTTTCTTGCTTTGGTTTAAAACATAGAAATGATAAATATGCTGTTTTAATTTAAAATCAAACTTTTGTTGAAAGTATTTTTTATTTTATGTATGGGGGTGCTTTGCCTGCAGGTATGTTTTACACCACACATGTGTACAGTGACCATAGAGGCCAGAGGATGGTGTTGCATCCGCCTGGAACTGGAATTAAAGATAGTTGTGAGCTATCACATGGGTTCTGGGGACAGAACTCCGGTCCTCTGAGAAAGCAGTTGGTGCTCTTAACCACTGAGCTATCTCTTCAGGTACAGTGAAAACACTTTTTAAAATTCTTTTTTCTTCCATGTAAAATATATACCTATATGTATATTCATGAAAAATCGTTCATCTAATACTAATAGTATCTGTGACCAATAAAAATTGACACACTCACGTTTTTGTGTAGTGCTTGAAGTGCATATAAAAAGCATGTCTCATTTTTTTCAAAAATAAAATGTCATTTTTAAAAATGAGAAAAGTAAATGCCTAAAGGACCACTAGTAAACATTTCTACAAAAAATGTGAGTGCTTGTTATAACTATATAGCAGAGTCTTGTGTATGCTATAACAAGGTAGTACATGACAGTTTAAGGGAGTGCTGTGGCTTAAATCTAAAATCTACTTAACAAGCTGAAGAATAAAGCATACAAAACCCAAGTTTTTCTTGGGGTCTAAGGGCTTTCAGAAAGAAAAGCTTACTTGGCAGAATCAGCTAGGTAGGGGTGTACCTTTGAAGGATGTAACAGGACCCATGTTCTTTTCCCTTCTCTCCTTTCCACTCTGCAATGATGTAAAGAGTCTCCACAACTATCATGAATGACAGCCCACTATCATGAATGACAGCACACTTTCCCTACCAAGATGGAAACGAAATTCTCTGAAACAGTGAGGTAAAATAGACCTTCTTTCTCTAAAATTGTTCTGCTGTCAGATATTCTGTTATAGTGACACAAAGTAACTATTATGTGGAAGATTTATTTTTGCTTCATTATTTCAGAGGCTCAAACACATAAGGGCAGAAAGGGTGTGGCTGAGTGAAGCAATTCAGGCCACAGGAGGTCAGGAACTGGAGAGAGGGGAGATGTCAGCATGCTACTTGCTTTTTCTGTCTCTTTTATTCACTCAATGTTCTGGTGCCACCTGGAATTAGTCAGGATGGGTCTTTCTTATCAGGTAATCTTATGGAAAATTCCTCA